TCCATCAGGTAGATGGTACTATTTCACTAAATATATTATTCATTCCATTAGGTAAGATTTTTTTTTTCAAATCAATTGTAATATTTTGAAAAACTACAAAAACTATAAAAACACATATATTTTTATATTTTTACTGTGTTGTTTGCAGGCTTTTTATTTTTCATGAATTTTTCACTCAATCAGATAATATATTTTATTTTTTAATTGATTATTTATTCAATATTCTTCATTCATATAAAATAAAAATGATACTCTGATTAATTGATATAATAGAGTATGTGCCCTAAACAAAAACTTATATGCTAGTTATACATTCAAAGAATGAATAATTTCTCAATTCAAATCTCTGTTATGAAACATGCAACACAATTTCAAATCAAGAGATTATTTTTCATAAAAAATAAAATTAAAAAGAAATGATTTAAGGATAATCTCATCAGTAGTATTAATTTTAAGTTCATTTATATCTTAATTTAAAATAACTCAGAACCATACAAAATTTTACTAAAATTTCTAAAAAAAAGGATATAAATCTTATGATAACTCTATAATTATCGAACAAAGAATTCCTTATCGTTTTTCAATAAAATTTTAAAAAAAAGCCTTATTTTTATTATAATTTAATATTTTAATTATATTATTTATATGTTACATATATTTTAAATATGTAAATAATTTAATAATATTTAATTTTATTTTTATTTAAATTTAAATAAAATAAAAACAACCCGTGCAAGTAAAAAGCTAGTTACTAATATTTCTTTATTCGCAAATCGCTTATCCTCATCTCACTAAATAAATTCTGTCATCATTTGTAGGTGTTATACCAATGATATACTCGTAGCTAATGTCGTCAGTTAGACTAAACTCGAGAATACATATAAAAACAATAAAAGAGAAATTATTTTTTAAAATTAAAAGATAAATAATTTTAATTGATTTTTTATTTTAACCACTCAATTATAAAATCTAATAATTTAATCATCAACGTTTTATAACTATTTTGTCACCCAATCATTAAGGTATTAACATAATGATGATGTGGCATTACAAATCAGCCACTCTTTTCACATGGTAAACCATGTCAGCTTAAAAGATCACGTGTTAATGCTAACATGGCATTGATCACAAATTAGTCATTCTTTACTTTTTTTTTTTTTCTAGTTTTCTTTTTATCTTTTCTTCCCATCCTAAAGTTCTTCTCTTCGATTTTTCCATCCCCTCTTTCTAAACTCTCTTACTTTCCTCCTCCTCTCAAATTTAAAATCTGGTCAACTCAAAACCTAGCTGTCGACGATCATCCGCCACGTGCTCCACCACTGGCCATCGCCAGCCGTCGTTTGTCAACGATGGTTCTCCCCCAAATTTCATTCGAAAGTCCTCTTCACCACCTCTTTCAATATATAAGTTCGAATTTCCCAAAATGTTCATGAAAAACCATAGTTTACAATCTAAAATAAAAAATTTTGCTGTTGGAGCCTTCTGTCAATGTTTAAACAGCCCAAAATAACCAAAAATACCTTTCCCTCCTATGCTCCTTTTCTTTTATTCACTTTCCCGATAATCTCCTCGCCCTTGTGAACCACCGTTGCTATCGCTACCGGTGGTGGCTGGCAGACAAGTCATCTCTTCTCCTTTCTCTTTCCTTTCTTCTTATTTCTAGCCGAAATCCCCTCAAAATACAACTTCCTATTTCTTTCTTTCTCTTTTTCATTGATTCACTTTTCTCTCACACGAAAATCAAAACACCAATCACTACCCAAAAGGGTGTTTTGATTTTCTTACTTCCTTTTCATTCTTTTTGGTTTTTTGTTTGTGATTGCTTTTCTTTTTGGTGTGTGATGTTTTTGAATTATTTTTTTTGTGTTGATTCCCCTACGGTAATGATCTGCTGCTTGATGGATGTTGTGTAGGTTGAGATTTCGTGTTCTTGTGATGCCTGGCTGTTGGCCATGGAGAGCTACGCTTTTGTGTCTCTGAGGGTTTTGAGTCTGCGTGTTTGGTAGTCTCAGATCTAACCTCCTGGCAAGGTATATGGGCGATGGTGGTCGGAAAGTTTAGGAATCCAGGTAGTAGTGGTAAGTTGTGCATGGGACTGAGATTTTCTGAAACCACGTCAGCTAAGTCATGTGGTTTTTAGGATGACATGACCATATCACATGGCTTTTCTGATGACATGACATACCATATGACTACTGTCATAATATATGATAAGCCATATCATTATTCTTTTACTTACTAAAGATGACAAAAAAATTATAAAATATTGACAGTTAAATCGCTATATTTTTAATTAAATGATTACTAATGCAATTTACCCTAAACTATACATAGTAATACTATATATTGACGGAAGTAATTAGTTCTTTGCTTTATTTATCGGATATGTATCATCTACATGGCTAATACAGTAAATGATTGAAAAACAAAAAATCCCACATTCCCAAATCCGAACTTTTCTGAAAGCGTGTCGTGGAACATCAAAAACATCCAACCTAAAAGATACAAATAATGAGTTCCTTCTTGTCCAGAATGAATATGTGTCAGAGTTTCTTGTGTGGATGGGTGGGGGGGCATAGGCTATAGCTTAAATAGGACCCACGCACCCTGATGTGTTATTTTGTTCTTTGAGACAATTTTTCTTTTATATTTCAAAACGAATAAAAAATCCACTGCCATTTTTCACCTGCTCTTTGCTTCTGCTTCACGTTTTGCAGAGAGAGAGAAAGATTGATGGGGTAAGGGTCCATGATGGATTCTCAATTCAGTAATGACTTTTTCATTAGGAAAAAAAAAAGAAAGCTTTACACCAAAGTCCAAACATTAACTTCAGAAAAGCCGTACTTGCCCTCTGATCTGAGTACCTTCTGAAACCCAACAGTACGTACTAGCTAACTACAACTATCAAACCAACTCTTTAATTAACACTATTACTATTACTGTTATTTTGTAAAGTTAATAGTATATGGTAATGCTGAAATGAGGTCAAGAGATTACTAAGGACTTAATTCCTTTTTTTTAAAGTATATGGTAAAAGTGTGGAGATCACCAGATATTCCAATAAAAAAAAGGCGATGCTTTGCAGATCTCGAGAAAAAAAAATTTTTAGTGTTGGCAGTTAACCAGTACTGTGATGAGGGGGGGATGAATTAGAGCACAAAGACGTGACTCTCACTGGAGCTGGCAGACCCAAATCCAGAGACCATATGATAGATAGCGAGAGCGAGAGGAGAGGACAGATTTAACTTTCTTTCTATTGGTGTTAGTATGGTATATTATATGCATATGTTTGTGTGTGGGAAAATAACAGATATATACGGTGCATGCATAAGATAAAAATTAGTCATTAAATGTGTTCGAAGTTTGAAGGGGACAGATATTGAGCATCCGGCTGTGGGCAGGCAGATAGACACTGACAAAAAGTGGGTAACAGTGCAGGAGAGATGGTCGCGTTTTATGATGAAAGCTTTGTACTACCGCTTTACAACGACACATGAATGCAAGCGTGTGGCTATGTGAATGAGAATGAGAGGATATATATATATATATATATATGAATTAAACAGTTGAAGAAAATAAGGAAATTTCAAGTCAAGAAAGAAATTTTAAAACAAACCCTCTTTTTCATCTTCTCTCTCCTCTCACCCTAAAACCTAAACTAATACTGTCTTGAATTCTTTATGCATGATAATTGGAAGCAGTCATATTAGGCTAGATACCAGATATTAAAAAAAAAAGAAATAAACACTATTATGAGAGAGAGATGGGAACTTGCCAATGTTAAGACTTTTGTTTAAGGTTCAACTGCTTTAGTGTAGAAAATGTTGGGGATCCTAATAGTGAAATGGCTGGGGAAGGAAAAGCTGAAAAAACCCTTACATGCAAGAACAAGTAAACAAATGCTTTACATATCGATCCAATGAGGACAGTAACTGTGACTCACTGTTTGAAACACTTGTTACCATGGAGACGGGAGGTCGAGCTGGCTCTCACCAGCTAAGAAAGAACTGCTAAAATTCATAATCAAACAGACTTCACAGCGTCCGGCCCTTTCCCTTCTTTTTGGTACAAGCTAGAATTTAAAGACGTTTGAATACGATTAATCAAAAAGCAGAAAAAGTTGAGACACCTACTGCTCGTTTTGTTTACAATTGTTTCATACAGTAGGTTGACTGATTATTAATATGTATAGGCTTTATTTATTAGTACATTATTTTAGTAAGGGAAATGCTATTACTATTTAATTTAATGATTAATACGAAAAAGTCAGAGACCTGACCGACGATATATAAGAATTTAATTACTGCATATTATATATATATATATATATATAGAAATAGTGGTTAATTATTCAGGTGCAACTTGGGGTTGAACTTTGGGCATTTGAAATCTGTGGCTATGAATGAATTACTGAATAAATTTTGGAAAGAAAGTAAACCAGTGGTCCTCAAGAACAAAGTAGAAAGGTTAGAATAAATAGCGAAAAGGAGGACTACGCCGTAGACTTAGGCTTAGAGAATCCTCTTTAAAGTTCGACTTTAACACTGCGACTATTTCATTTCATTTATTCTTAATCATAAACAATGACAGAAGATAAAGAACAACTCCACATGCATTCATGCCTAGAGCTGCTGCTGCACTAATGACGCAACAAAAGGTTTAGCAGTCATATAATATCTATATGGCTCTATTACCCTTATTTAGGTCCCAATTCCCACAATATATATATATATATATATATAATACAACACCGGTGACACATTTTAAGCCCCTGTTATTAGCAGGATAAAAAGTACTTCACCCACCTAATTAATAAGAAGGCAAACAATATTACTAGCAGTTAAGTGATATCTCTAGCTAGGACCGAGGAGAGTTTACACTACAGAGACTAGCCAGAAACCAAACCTTAACTTAAAAATATATAACGCCCATCCCACCAAGAGCTTTTCTACAGGTAATGCCCTATATAGAAAACCCTAAATGGTCCATACCGTCTGAAATTGTCTTGGTTCACATACCACCTTCTCCTCCATCGTTCATACCACCAGAAGAGTTATCATTCCAAGGAAAAGAATAAGGAAGAGGAAAAGCACCAGGGGGCTGATAGAATCCTCCTCCTTCATTACCAATCCTTCTATTAAATTCAGCTGGCCTGTTACGGGGAGTTAGAGGTTGAACTGAACTCGTCCCCGGTGCTGCAGGCAAGCCTGTTGGGATCTCGTTGCAGGCATAACGGATCAAATCAGCATTAGCCGCATCGAGTTCTTTCTGGAGCCCTTGGACTTGTCTCTGCAGGAAAGATATAGCACCAACACACCCATAAACTGGATCTCTTACTCTAGCCTCAGCTTCAAATGCAAGGGAATTTACCGCATCCTCTCTTTGGTGAGGGAGGAGCTCGTTAAGGAGTTTAGTCACGTTGCTTGCTCCAAAGATCTTGTGAACATTCACAAATTTTTGTGGCTCCTCTGGTGGAAAGTAAGGTGCAAAGATGCAACCTGGCATGCATTTCCTCCTCAATAACTTGCAAGCAGCACAGGGTGAATTGTAAGAGCTGGACGAAGCCATTTTCACTGCTACCTTGGACAATATGCACATATATCCAGAAGAAGCATTTGTCGTGAGTTTTTCTAAAATTGGAGTATAAGTTGAGCCTCTTTTAGTTCTTAATTAATTATGAAATTTTAAAATTGTTTTAGAAAACTATATTCTCATTTAAACTTTTTCTGCATATTTTCTTGACCACTGCTTAATATCAATATTTGAGTTTTTCCTTCCTTTTTTCCTAATTAACTTGGGTTTGGGGTCACTCCTCAAGAATCTATGATCTATATTTACTAGGGTTTTCCTGACTCTATTTTCTTTATGATCAGTATCAAGCAATCCAACCATTTGGTTTCCTAAAGGAAATATGTCCAGAGTTTTGAAGTTAAAAAAAAAAAGAAAATCCCATGTCCACCTTTCTGACACACTCAGAGAATACAACAGAGAGAACCTTTTGAAACATACATGCATAACCTCTTAAATCTGAGAACATTAATGTCAAGAGTTCCTTCTTTCTTCTTAATTTATTTCTTTTTTCCTTTTTTGCTGTCTGTTATCTTTTCCTCCTTTACTAATTTCTTGTACGTTTAGAAGAAAAAGTTCAATTCTTGCACTTGACACACATGATCCACACAAGGACTTGTGCATGCCACCATTAAATTTGGTTCCTAAGTTTGTCTTTTGCTATAATATATTCCATAATTAACTTGTTTTATTTCTCTCCGTCTCCCAACCTGTCAAGAGTAATAAATTAAGAGAATTTAGTTGCATAAGCAGTTGTAAAGTCATAAGATCCTTTCTGCAATCAAATGAAAATGGGATCTGATCTGACTAGTGCAAATTCAGCAAGACAAGATTATCTTTTCATAGGTATATTTAAGGTATTTGAACATAAGAAAGCCCTAAATCAGAGCCTTTAGCCAAAGAGAGAGAGTCGATTATCTCTTTAGCCTTTAGCTAGCCAACAAAAAAAAAAACAAAAAAGGAGTATTAGCACAGAAAAGAACGAAGCAGCAACACATATATGATATCTTGTTTTGGATCTGTGTTTTTATCAGACGAATAAAAAGGGAAGTACCTTTTTCCTCTTATATGAGCTCTTTGAGGAGGATTTTCGTTGCTCCTACCAAGATAAGGTAGTCTTGGCCAGTGAAGGTGTGAAGCGTGAACTTAATTATAGAGCTGGGGCAGGGGCTGGGGCTGGAGCTGGAGCGAGCCTCTTAAAGACGAAAACCCTAATTGGAGATGTGATATAGAGAGAAGGAAAGCTGCAAATTCAGTAAGAAAAGGAAATGGAGAGAAGAGAAGGCAAAGAGCATTTAGTGGATGGAGAAGGAATGGAGGCAAAAGACAAAGGTAATAAATGGCAGGTACACTAAAGAATGACTATGACCATCCATCTAATAATAATATCAGGGTTGTGGGGATGTCTCCCGTTTCTCATTCCGCAACATATCTCTTTCTCATGCTTGGAGACTTAACATATATTTCCTTAATCCAAAAAAAAATGAAAGCAAACTAATGGAGAATTAAATGGATTAACAGATGGGAAAGGGAAAAGGAAAAGCAATTAAAGAGCAAAAAAGAAAATTGCTTGCTAGATGCATATTTCAAAGATCCCCGTTTGATCATAATTATAAGCATGCATTGCTGACTTAAATTGTAGTTACACTTATACCCTATAAGGATTCTTTTTCTCTTTTGGTCAAATACGAAAGGAACCAAAAGAGCTTTGCGGATATGTATATGTATATGTATACGAGTGTGTGAAGCATGTAGTAAGGTGCCCCAAATGCTGCTAGCTGCAAATTAATTAAGGTGGAGGCTAAACTAAAATCTAAGTGAAAATATATAGGATTACTTTCTTTTTATGTCGATTTAACATTTCAGACACCATAAAATTAACTTTTTTTCTAAGTCAAAATTCACTAATAATAGGACTGTAAGAGTGGAATACACATTCACAATACGAGACAGAATTCCAAAACAGTTCAACATAGAAAACCAGAATAACATCAACATTGCAACTCAACTCAAACTCAAACACAAACACCAAGGTTACCAGCTGCCACCCAGACAAAGCTAAATGGTTTTTTTTTTTAACTAATCCTATCTATCATATGACGGCTGTAATTTCTTTGCTTCCTATTACCTACAGTTGTATTTTAATTTAAACACATGCAACAATAAATTTTCCTTCTATATACAGGAAATAAAGTGTACAATACTAGTGCTTTTAAGTTTTAACTAGAACAAAGCTTCTCTTTCTATCAAATTTCCTAAAATTAATTTTGACAACTTGAGGCTCTAGCTGTTTGTGATCGGAAAATGACTTATAAAAGGCAATTTAACATTGAAATAAACAACAATCATCTGTATATACAAACATTAACTCAATTAGAAATGACGAAATAGTTAATGAAATGAGTAGCATAAAATGTAAGGGAAATTATATATTAATTTGTTCCAATGTTCTTGCTAATCAATGTAATTGTTGTATTAATGTTGACCAAAAAAAAAAAAAAAGGCGCTGTTGCATTGATAATTTAATTATTATAAGTGACCTGCAATCGGATTATTATGACACTACAAAAACTTCACATTCAGGACTAATAAGTAAGAATTACTCAAGCTAATGAAAGCTTAATGAAGTTGACTTGGTTAATTAATTAAAATCTTCAATCATAAAATACTTGCAATGCCAACGATTTAAGCAGACTTGAATGTTTCTCCTCAATATTTGCAAAGACAAACTGTGCTCTAACCTTGATTCATCATTGTTTTCTTTGGCAAGGCGTGTATTTTAATTAATTTTTATGTAAAATGATCCTGTATCCATTTTTTATCTAAAGATTATGACTTGGGAAACCATTATGGGGTCAAATCAAACTTAAAATTCATATCTACAATAACAACATTTCAGTAAGAAGTGACGAACTAGCTAATGATCTATCAATCTAAGACGTCAAAGCACTACCTGAACCAACTGCAAGGTTTTGCTGGAATGCATGTGGAAGCTCTACCGAGATATTGATCAAAGCATATTCAATAAAATTTACCAATAAATACCACTATTATTAGAGCCGCTGGTCTTTATCAGTATGCTTTCTCTAGATGGTCCATACAATGACATGAACTTTATACTGCCAAAAACAAGCTGACAATGCTTTTATGTGAATTGACAGATCACACGGTTCAGAAAAGGAATGAGATTTAAAAGAATTCAATTCCTTTCATGATAAAATTCAACTGTTCTTTCTAGCTCTCCTTAGGTTTTCATATTAAATTCACGGTGGCATCCTTTTCATTACAGATAATCAAAGACCAAAAGCCCTAGCCAGAATCTACTATCAAACTCAAAAAACACAAATGCTAGACTAAGCATGTTAAGAGAAAGCCTATTCTACATTTCATCTGTAAATTATATATGTTAACTATTAGGCTGCAGCCTTAGACGACAAGCGTTCCATGCCCTTTCTTCATGATCTTTTAATTTCATGCTTGCCTCATGACACGCATTTCTTAATATATATAATTTACAACTATATACCCCGAAGCACAATTGCCACGTGTCAAAAATCTGACAAATTTTGACATGACTCCTGTAAAACAGGTTAAGGTTAATTATTTTGTTTGGTTCATGAGCTGTTGTTGACTCCTAATTGCTTCGAGTCAAGTCATTCACATGATAAGCGTACAAACTCTTTTGGAAAAGGATAGCTCAAGTCTTAAATCCGCTGAAACAACCTAAATGAGAGCTACTAAATGTAATTTTCAATCCAAAACTCACCATATAATTATATTTAGCATTTTTTTTACTGCAATTTTCAAAATTAGAAAAATGTTAGCAACTTCTTGTAAACTTATTTGTTAGCGTAAATTGTGCACATTAACTGTGGGAGATAGTGAGATGTAATTTTATGGATTAGCATTTCTCTGATTACTACCTTAAACTCATGACATGACTAAGTTTTGATGTCACTAATCTGTCAAAGGTTTGCACAGTCCCCGTAATGGATTCAATTTTTTTTTTTATGACACATTCATGAAGATGACAACATGATGGTGACATGTACAATGGCAATGAATTTGGGTACGTAGAATATCAAAGATTAAGGTTCCCTCTATAGAGTGTTAATGTTGCTAGCTGGTCTAGGCTATAATGGTAGTTAGTGGGGGTAATTTTAGTAAAGTGGCACTAATGACTTTATTGAAGAATTTTCTTTTTTGATGGATAATTATCAAAGGCAAAACATAATTCATCATCTAACCTTCATGATTAGTGAACCTTATCAGTTATGGCCTTACTAGCTAAAACAAGAAACTCTTATTGCTTAATTGCTGACTTAGTAGTGCAGACCATTGAAGGAAAATGCAGAATGTTCACTTAAACAATATGCTTTTATAATTATTTTTATAGCTTTTATAGCGTTCAGTGAAGATTCTTGCAGTTTGTGATTTGAAAAAAATTAATACAATCATAAAAAATACTACCTGCTGTATTGCGCTAATGCAAAAGTATGAAGCTTACTAATAGTTTATTCTCTTTTAATTGCAAAGCCACGGCCAAAAATTTATAGTACATATACTTTTTAGGTTTTTTAATTATAAATAAATGAAAAGATAATTAAGTACTCAATCATAAGTGTAAATATATCACATAAAAGAGTTGGTCTTGGCTCTCTAAATAAATAAACAAAGTAATTATATCAACACATAAAATTAATTATATATCTTTAAGCATTGATGTAAGATCAGTAAATAAAATTATATATGATAATTTGTACATTTGTATTATAAAAAATATCGATAATTTGTAAATTTATATCATATTTTACATAAAAATCAAATATCATAATTTATGTCAATACGAATATATAAAATATATATTTTTTATTTTATTAAATTTTTATATATATTTTTATATTTTAAATTATTTTCATGTGTTGTTTTTGTATATATCGTTATATCACATTTTAATTTATTAAATTTAAACAAAAATTTAACTAACCAACAACTTTATCATAATAAACTCTAGTTTAATTTTATTTTGCTAAAGATAAAGATAATAGCATAACATATACTAGTACATTTTTACACACCAAGTCTCCATGAAATAACAAAACAAATGCATTTTCCATTTTAGTAAAAGTGAATGATTTAAACAAATTAAAGGAAGTACTGCAATTAACAATGAAAAGTATACCTAGAGATCATAAAAGCATTGATAGGGTAGAGAGGGCAGAGAGTGGGGCCTTTAAGAAGGAGAGTAGTGGTTGTCTCAGTGACTCAGTCCCAACTATAGTGGTAGTTACTCCCTATCAGTTACTGCGCCTCTGCCTCCAACCATGGTTCTTTGGTCCCTTTACCTACTTTCCCCACTTAACCTCAATCCATGTGTGAGTGTGGGCCAACGACAAAAGAAAGGGAGATCAGCAATGTAAAAAAACCTTCCAAATATCATTTGGGTCCGGTCTGCTCAATTTGAAAAGTGGTAAGAGTACCATCCCTTTTTCTTGCCTTGCCTAATGCCTGTGTGGGAGTCGCGATCAGCTTGCATGGAGAGATAAAGAGCGCACACCTTCAGAAGGTATATGCAAATTACGCAGGAAGTTCGCTGCCAAAAAGTTAGAATCAATTTACTGTATTATATATTGTTTGATAAAAAAGAAATATTAATACTAATTATATTGTTAATTAGATTTATATTTAATGTATTTTCTAGTAATGTTTGATATGAAATAATTATCTAAAAAATCATGATGATCTATGCACAGTAATTAAATTACTTTATTTGATAACCACTTAATGATCATTGGTGGTAGTAATCTTATATCGAAAGTGATTATGTCATTATTTTGAAAGATGATCTAATTCTCATATAAAAGTGTGAGAAACTCTTATCAACAGAGTGAAGTCAAAGGCAGATCTAAGGTAAAATCTTGAAACTTGAATTTTTTATTAGTAAAAGATCCAAAATATAAGTGATTCTTGTATTTTGCACCTACTAAAATTTCAAAATTACAAGTAGGATTATTAGAAATAAACTCAATTTTTTATTTTTTATTTTTTACCCCTACTAAATATTAAAAAAAAAAGTATGGATCTTTTATAATATTGAAATGTATATGAATGTATTAAAAAATAAAAAAAGTAATTGAATAAGTTAACGATTCAAAATATAAATATAAAATTTATCTCTTTACTATACTTATTGATTTTGTTAGAATGACTTTTTAATGGGTTACAAAACATGTTATGTCATGTCATGTTTAATCTAACTTAATCAATAAACTTGTTAACTGTGTGGTATTATATCCATTTGATAAATATATTTGTGTATATGTTTAAATCTTTAATTTGTTTATTCAATTGTCATATTTATGTTTACTTATATAAGTGTTAATATTCTTTTCTAATGTGACACAATTAAGACAAGCAAATGTGATTTTTTAGATATAATTTTTATATAAAAATTATATTTTTAATATTTTAT